TCATCATGTCGCTCAGCATCCGGTTGCCGTAGCCAGTGGTTCAGACAAGACCATTCCGTTTGCCTCTCTGATTTATCAGGTGCTACAGTATCAGAGAGAGGTTCCTGTGTATCCACATGAAGTGCCTAAGCCAATCAAACCGTACAAAGCTGTTCCAAAGAGTGGTATGGGAAGGAGACAACATCCAGTTCCAAGGCATGTGTATGGAGTCAATCTTGTGGCTGACCTCAGGAAGCAGGCTCAAGTCCTCCTTGACATTGCTGATCGGATTGACGGTAAGTGATTCTCCTTTTTTTTTGGTTAATTTTTCAACTCATGGGAATTTTTGATTGAATGTGGCAATCAAGCAGGGGGAGATTACTCTAGTATTGCACAAGCACAAGCTGCTGTGGCTGGTGGATCCGAGCAAGGCACTGATGCTGATGTTGAGGGGGAGACTAATGGTGAAAACGTAGCTGAGGAGTCCAAGAGTCAGTCTTTCTGAGCTCTGTGTGTGATCTGTANNAGGACAGCTTGTGTAGTCTAAGCTAGGGAAGTAGCTTTAGGATCGGTTTTTTTTTAAGACCATCTGTCTTTTGTTTTTAGAACCTGTATCTTGATGGTCTGTAAAACCTCTTGGATCTTATTCTGCCTGTTGGAACTTGGAATTGTGTGTTTCTGTTCTGTCTATTTCTTTTGAGTTTGCAGTTAAGGCTTGGATGCACACATTCAGTCAAAAAGGGGGAGAATGAAAGAGGAGTGTTTTTATTCATGTGTTACACGGTTCAAAGAAGCATAAAGTAGAGGATGACGTGGCATGAGGTTTAATTCAAATATGTGAAGAGAAGAATTTGGAAGAAGCGTGAAGTANAAGATGACGTGGCATATGAGTTTAATGGAAGATAAGCTTAAATATGGAAACTGGAGATTTGGTGAATATACGAGAGGTGCTCGTATCGAGGACCTAGTAGATTCATCTTACTCGACAAATATAAAAAGAGTAGAGAGGAATGCTTTTAGGTTAGCCGTTGATGTTAGTAGAATAGGATTGTCGCATCTATTCTTATTGAGAGAGACTCGGGA